GGCAACTTTGCCGAAAATTATAAATTTGTGATACGAGACAAGGTGTAAAGTTATCATTGGAATCAACAATCATGCACTTTGCATCCTATTGTCTTGTATCACAGAACAGGAGGTGAATTGAAGGAAGTTTCCATTTGTTTTGTTTCAGACGACTTCACTCATGATGTAGGCTTTCTTTATAGAGTCATAAGCCAAACTATCAACTACATCAAGAAGGAGATTACTGGTAAAGTTAAGATGGTGCACTATTTTAGTGACAGTTGCGTGGGACAATATAAAAACTGCAAAAATGTCATTAATTTGTGCCTTCATCAGAGTGATTTTGGAGTAAATTGTATTTGGAACTTTTTTGCCACATCACATAGTAAATTGCCTTGTGACGGTCTTGGAGGAACAATTAAATGCTTAATTGCAAGGGCCAGTCTTCAAAGACCCGTATCAAACCAAATCTTATCAGCAAGGGAAGTTTTCAAGTTTTGCAGAGATGAAATTAAAGGGTAATAACATTCTTTATCTCACAAGATGAGATGACTGAGAGTGTGGAAGAAAGATTTGAGCAAAGTAACACATTGCCTGTAACTCGAAGTTTCCACCAATGTATACCACTATTAAATAGCGTCATTGGTGTGATGCATGTCTTTTCTGATGAGGAGTTTACACTTACATTTGACCTGGTTTTAGGGAAAAGCATTGACCAAATTCCTTCTGAAGAGATAAAGAAGTCCGACTTTGTTCTTTTCAATTATGATGAGAAGTACAGGGTTGGACTTGTTGATGAAGTTGAAATTGAAAATAGGGATATTCTTGTAAAAGTTATGCATCCAACTTATCCAGCCAGACCCTATTTGTGGCCAAGGAGAGAGGATACTTGCTTTCTACCAGAAACACACATTCTTTGCACAATAAATGCACCTGTAACAGCAACTAGTCATCAATACCATTTGTGGGAGATTGATATAAAAAAGATTGACGAGTTTCTGAAAAAAAAGGAGATCATTGACCAGATTTAAAGATGTTCAGTCCAAAAACTTGTAGGTTGGAGCATTAAAACTGACTTTAGAACTTCATCAATCTTCTGTAGCTTATGTAGATAATATTCAGTTTTATTATAGAATAAATCTCAATGTAGTTTTAAGCACTCTTTGAAATTGTACAGCAATTATCAATATATCATGTGAAATAGAATTTAGGCATATCCTCTTTATAATTTAGTCAATTTTCAGAGGACTGTTACTTTGGAACAAGGGGAAAAAACATCTCAGGTTTTTAATATAGTAAACTACATGGTTTGAAGAGTATCTGCTCCAAATTTGGTGTTGATAAGTTTGTCAAATATTGGATTTCAATAATTTCAAAAAACAGGGTATGAACCCTTTCGTAACTGTTTAAAAGTTCTATAGTAGGGGGTTTAAAGGGTAACTGGGGGGGGGGGTGTTTTAGGATATAAGTAAAAGCTGTTTCTATATTTGGATTCATTATACTTGAATAAGGGGAGGAAAAATACTGGCCCAATTTCAATAAAATTATGAAATTAATTACAATGGCATAGGGTATTTGTGAAACTCCAAAATGGCCATCACAAGCAATTTTTGACCAAATTTTGCTAAAATTCAAATGTTTCTATTTCCGGAAGGAGAAAGAATTTTGCAAAAAAATTTGCAGGTATACTTAATCCATAGATAGGTACCATACTACACCTTTGTTTGTTTTTTATATATTTCTTTTCCCTTACAGGGTCACACTCTCTTCTAAATTGGACCCTGCTCACTGTCCAGGTATAGTTATAGGCTGGGAAAACTCCAGCATACCATCTACTGCTGGATGCTTCCCAAGAGATTTGGTGTGGCAAGAAGCTGGACCAGCCACAAAATCTGCACTGTACGGTTTTTCACAAAACCAAAACAAATTCTTACTGACAGGGGAATTCCCAGGCATAGCACCTCCTGCGAGTTGAGACCCAGGAGTTCTTGTATCATATGGAGCTGGACCAGTCAAGATTTTCTATTGGCTGTAGTACCCCCACCTTATCTTGGGAATGGAGATGGACCAGCCAACATAATTATAAAAAATATGGCCTATAACACACACTGTCGATATTGATAGTTCCACAAGATCACTAGTAGATTCACGTAACAGTATATTGCATCATAAATATGCCCATTCCAGACTGAACTCATGAAAACTACCATGAATAAAGGGGATTGCTGCCCATCCTGCTGCTCCTTCGATTGAATAAATCAGGAGTGGCCTGCTTTTCAAAATAGTTTTTCGTGGTCACCCCCCACCCCACCCCCCACACACACACATTCTCACCTTCTACAAGTGAAGGTGGACCATGAAGGCTTCCTTCTGAATGTACTAAATCCCAGTGTAATGGAATAAGGCAGTGGTGTTCTGTCAGTGTATAGGTGGTGTAGATCCTCCTCCTCATTCATGAACTAGAGTTGATCCACTTAAATGCAGTTCACCCGTCTGGCTGGGACACTTCATCCTACCACTGCCTGGGTGTCAGTTCCCGAGTGGTGTTGGATTACAGCTGGACCAGCCAATATAAAGTCCTCACACATGTGTTGGTAGGGAGCTTTCATCTTACCATGGACAAAATGATTAGATTTAGTATTTGGCTAGAGAACCCCGGCATACCTTCTCCTGGAGTCTGTGGCAGTTCTGGTATGGCAAAGAGCTAGAACAGCCTACAGCTATTCTTGTTGGCTGAGGAACCCTTGGCCTACCATCTGTGGGTTGAGACTTGCGTGAACTGATGTGGCAAGGAGCTGGACCAGCAACCAGATATAATCTGTCTGGTTTTGGATTTGAGTAAACCACCACATTGACACTTCCCTTCTTAATGTCACTTGGAGACATGGTTCCTGGGTGACTGGTGTTGGTTGTGAATCTGCACACGTGCCCTGACTGGGAAGGCAGAATGGAAGACCCTCCTTTTACTGCAGACTGGATGTTAAATAACAGATGCTGCCTGGTTTTGGACTGAAGTTGACGTACCAATTATGGTCTGACATGCCCTAGCCAGTCTACACCATGAGGCACATCAATCTGTATATTAAACAAACTAATCAGCCGGGGAACCCCATCATATCATCTCCTGCTGGTTAGTTCCCGGGAGAACTGATTTTGTAAAGGTTCCGGACCAACTGAAAACTATACTAGTTGGCTGGGAAACCCCCATCTTACCATCTCCTGGAAGTTGGTTCCTGGGAGACCTGATTTTGGAAAGGAGCTTAACTACCCAAAATAGATACATTCCTGGGTGTACTTCCCTTTTCCACCCAATTTCGCTACACATACTTCCATAGTTGGTAAAGAGTATACCTGGTACAGATGTGGTGCAGTCTTCCACAAGTGTGTTCCTCTAACAAGAGATGTCACACTCTATAGACTCTCTGGCACCTTCCAAAGAGTGATCATCTAAATAAAGTTTGCATCAGTCCTTCCACCAAGCCAATATGGGATTCTAGCTATTGTGTGAATGGAGGTGAGATATCACATTGGAAGTTAATATTTTCCTATTCTTCTCTCACTTTCCACTCTTCATTCACACTTCCAGTACTTCTTTTCTGCCAAATCTCGAAGGGACGATTGGGTTCTACAATATAGGGGAAGCCAGCTGTGACAGGAAAGTGTGTCATGCTCCTGTTGGTAGAGAGTTGTCACACTTATTTTCATGCTACAATGCAGCTGAATCATATTGAAACTTGAGTAGGTGGGAGTCTCAAGGCTAATGGTGAGCAAAAATATCACTGCATATAAATATTATTCATGATATATTTTAATGCTTATGTTTATACTACAAACATTCAGTGATGATATTGATGTGCCACTAAATTCTATTTTATAGATATCAACTTCGAGTTTGATCAGAATGTGTAGTACAAAACAAAAGTAATTAACATTTTCAAAAGTGGCAAAATTTGACTGATATTTTATTAAATAGATCCTATTAGTTTGTTGCATCAGTTTTTCACATACACACACTAGAAACCATAATTTTTACCCTAACTTCCATTATCTAGATAAGTTGCTTAAAAACTCAGCTAGTATTTCATGGACTTAAAAGTTTTTACATAAAACTACCAAGTAGGGCAACTTGAAACAAAACATAATTTCAAAATTTATATTTTTATGTTCACTTACAGTAGAATGTCTTTGCAAAGTGTGGTGAATTATTGTTTAATTCTATTGAAAATTATTTGAAACTTAAAAGATGAATAGCAAAAGTCATCTCAAGCTCTCAGGTTAATAAGTTTAATCAGTTGAAACAGGGTCATTCTTCTCTCATAAAATTGGTTAGTCTACATAATAGGCAACTTTCCTACAAAATTAGATGTAAGAAATGATCAAGGTTATCTACTATCTACTTTACAATTAGATTTAGTAAGCTTCAAAATATTGTAAAAATTTCAGTATGATATACTTTTTTGTATGAAACAATTAAAGCTGAACCATGTTGAAATGTAGGTAGGTGGGAATTTCAAAGCTAGTTGGAAGTGAAAAAATGTATGCATATAGAGGGCAGCACTAAACAAGAAAAGCTATTAAGTGAGAGGAGGTATTTATCTATCAGAAATATATTTCCAGTGTAGGAAAATATTAACTCAAATCAGACACCAAATCAGCTCAAGAACAACACTGTACATTATACAAGTTATTAATGTAATATTATAATACAAGAAACTTTAGAAATTCTTTGAAATAAATTCAACACACTTTTGTTTATAATTTTACAAACAGTAACATTTTGTTTTTTGACAACAAAAACTTTGCATTTAAATATTTCTTGCAGTAAGTATTAACTTGACCTTAATTGCCTGAGTTATTACCATTTATGATTTCTAGTATTTTAACTTTACCTTTTCTTGAGACTAATGAACACCAAAAATTTCAGTAGATATATTCATTTATTTGTTACTTGTGTGAACAGAGTTTTGCTAATATATTTCCATTTTGTTGGTTTATTATTTTAAGTTTTATTAATATCATAGGGAACGACTTAGGATGTGGAAGGAAAGGAAACAGCAAATTGAAGAATACAACAAGCTTCAAAATATTCAAACTCAAAAGCTGAACAGGTAATTAGAGTTTATAATTTTTTTATTCAAGAAATCTTGGATGCATTTGTAGCCACTTTTGGCAATAAGCACAATATGTGATTGTTTATAATTCAGAACACAAAAAGGGTTAAATGTAATTTGGCTAGAAATAAGTATGATGACTGTTTATTACTTGTCATTAAGGTCAGTTTCAGGAAATTCCATCCCTTAGCTGTAACCCTGGACAGAGCCAAGCTGAAAAACAAGACTAGACTTCTTATAGTGGTAAATTGTATATTATATCACAATGAAAACTGTATATTATTAAGTATGGTAGTACTTAATAGTAGGGATTGTGATGAAACAAAATGGCAGCCATAAAAATTGCCAACTTAAAACCACCATTAAAATGTCTGAATATTAATAATGACTGTTTTCATTGTATTGGCTGATGCAAAACTAAAGCTTATTGTACTTATAAAGCTAACTAAATCGCTATATATATGTGTTTATGGTGTAAATCAAAATTTTGCTATGACAATGAATTTTCATCAAATTGACTTTTCCATCACAAAGGATATTAGTGTGTGTGTGTGTGTGTGTTTGTGTATATATATATATATATATATATATATATATATTAGTTAGTAGAGAGATGCACATAATAACTAAGTAGTTAAGGTTAGGTTAGGTAG